CGATTTCAATAGTTTCCAGAATAGTTGTGGCCAACGGACACCACCTAATTTATACATAGTTTGTATATAATTTTCATCTGATTATATTTTAAAACACTTTTTCTTTAAAATATATAACTTGAACTAAGCGTTCCTAATTTAAACATATAAATTAGTGCAGCGACGTATGGTTAAGCCGTGCTGAAAATATCGCATAGATTTTTTTTTTTTTTTATTGCTTCGATGGATGGACGAGCTCACAGCCCACGTGGTGTTAAGTGGTTACTGGAGCCCATAGACATCTACAACGTAAATGCGCCACCCACCTCGAGATATAAGTTCTAAGGTCTCAGTATAGTTACAACGGATACCCCACCCTTCGAACCGAAACGCATTACTGCTTCACGGCGGAAATAGGCGGGGTGGTGGTACCTACCCGTGCGGACTCCCAAGAGGTCCTACCACCAGTGATTACGCAAATTATAATTTTGCGGGTTTGGTTTTATTACACGATGTTATTCCTTCACCGTGGAAGTCAATCGTGAACTTGTTGAGTACGTATTTCATTAGAAAAATTGGTACCCGCTTGCGGGATTGGAACACCGGTATATCGCTACATACGAATGCACCGGACGTCTTATCCTTTAGGCCACGACGACTTCAAACTCAACTTGCTCTAAGCCTCTTCTTTTTTCCCTACCTATTAGCTGATACCCTTTCTTTTTTGGGGGCAGTAGACGAACCTAATGCGAAGTATCTGCACCTAAGGGATATGCGTGGTATGTGGGTCTTGATAGACTGCAGATGTTGGGAGCAGAGCGCCCGGGTCCAAATATATTTTAAAGCCCTCTCCACCAAACGACTCCCCTTGCATTCTCTCACCCGACGTCCGATCTCCGTCCGGGGTCAGAACTCGGGAAGAGTAGGGGTGTTCTCGCAGTCGACACTACAACCAGACTTACGGCGCCACCCCTAGAATGCCCCACCGACGGGTCGTCGAGGCGATAGTCGGTGCGGTATCCACAGGTCGCCCTGACAGCAATAGCACACTGCGCGCGTCGCCAAATCCTGTTCCTGCGAGTCAGGACGCGGCACCATACGGGGAACCCTACAGTGCCATGTACCTCACAATGCGCCGGTAGCCTATGAGGCTATTCCAGGAACGCCCAGATGGATAGGTGGAAATCAACCTTAGGAAATTTGCTCAACACTAGGCCTAGCAAGATCCTCGCAGAATCTACCACTGTATCGGAATCGCGACCCATTTAGAAGATCAAAACGCTGCCTCCGGTACTTGTATTTATTTAGAAGACGCCGTGCATTTGGGATTTTATGAGTACTAACATTCGTATAAAGTACAGTCACATAAAACAGCTAAAGCCTCCTTTCCACACATACCAATGATACGAACCGAGCTCCGAATAAATCCCTTTTTTCTTTCGCCCGATCAAGAGGTCAAAGTGCTAACTTTTTGTTATTTGACACGTATGAAATTTCAGTGTTATATAGGTGCGTAAAGTAGACGTAAGTTTACGAGGGCCCGCGGCTTGCAAATATGACGTACGACGAATAAATTACTTTTACTCCTTCTTTTTTTTGGATGTTTGTCTCCGCGAAGTTTGAACGGCGACAATTTTTTTTATCTGTTTCTGTATTGTTTGTTTGAGTTCTGAAAGGAAATATTGCAGTTTGATACGTTTTACCACTCAGTTATATTGGGCTTTTAACGACTTGATATCGGTCGAGATTAAAGGTATTACTTCGGTTTTGGCATAAGATCCGAAATGCCTTTTTTCGGGTCGGATATTAAAGGCTAAATGTTAGCTTTTGCATATCTTACAATGTATTTTATATATGTTTTGTAAGATGTTCTTATATGTTGTTTTAAAATATTGCTAGTAACAAGGAGCCGTAGTATTAAGAAGAACCGGTGGAATCGCCTTACGCGGCATTTTATATTTTTGATGGTGTAGACAAACAGATGTTTTAGAATCCGCCTGTTGTTTAGTTGTTATATTATACCATACACTATGTATATAGTTTATAGACTAATACAATGTATTAAAGCAATTCATAATGACATGATATAACCATGTTTTATCATGTTATGTTCATATTCAATATTCACCATGTGAATTCTATAATAAACAATTTTTTTATCTAAGTAAGTTCAATGTTTATGTGTGCAGATTTTATCCAGTTGTGTAAACATAATAAAATAAAAAAATAAAAAATGCTCGAAGTCCCATTAATAAAATCTAACCTTAAAGCCCAGCCCCCCTTGATAAAGAGTTGTCCGGCTAATCATATATTATATTCTAAAAACAGCACATCGCTACACAGAAGTGAGATAATGAAAAGTCCACAAACAAAATTTTACGAATACACAAAACATCGGCTAATTATTAATTAAAATACACAAAGTAATAATGTTACTCTAAGGCTTGTTTGATACGAATCAAGCGAGGAGCTTGAATGCTATTTTATAACGACTTTTTAGCTGATAGCACATTCAAGATTCGAACTACTTGAACAAGAATAGAGTTGGCAAACAAACCAGATTATGAACTGTACTGAGATTTTTCAACTGCCCGCATTGTCTTTGATACAAAACCATGCAGACTTACACTCACTAGTATATTATTAATTGGCGTAGTATTTGGCGTAATTGTGTTGATGATTTAGCTGTGTTTACAGATACCAATTTTCTAAGCAAAAACTTTGCTATTATAGAAATTAACGCAAAAATCCACAAATTATTTAAAATTCCAGAATCCCTAGTAAGGCATATAGTGAATACGCACCGCCATCTGTCTATTTTTGCCGCGAAGCAGTGGTGCTTTCGATTTGAAGAGTAAAACAGCTAGGTGTCTCAAGGTGGTTGGCGGTATTCATGTTATGAGGTCTATGGGCTCCAGTAGACCATTAACTGAAAGCGGGTCATGGCCCTCCCATATAGTTATTGGAGCCCATAAATACCTTGAGAGAAGAGGTCGAAATTGTTTGCTTCTCTGTGTTTAATTTCAAGAAATCATTATTAATCAGGTTATTCCAATTTAAAAATACTTACTATAATGACAGTTGTTTTTGTAAACGCTTGGGAAATTCCTTTATATGCAATAATTGATGCACACGTTAGATGAACCTAGTTTAAACCTCTACTACTACTACTATTCGCTCACGGTGAGTGATGAAATTTCATAAAACCAACAACACATTTCGTAACGTTCACTTTTCCTGTGAAGAATGTTCCAACATCGTAATGAATAGATCGAATAATGACAAGGGTTTGACAGTCAAATTTGGTACAGGATAATAACATGGATGAAAAATTTGACATTTCCATAATTTGGTCAGGAATCCTTGGTTTTCTTAGGCATTGTAATAAGGTGTCAGCCTATATCCGCCGCTGGACCTCTGCCAAGAACCAAGCAACGGAATGTTTTAAATCTAAATGAGTTTGCTATTTTGTATAAATACGGAATTTCGTCGTCGGCTGATTCATAAGTTTGCTTCAATTCTGTACCGTGATTTACCTAAAAAACGATACAAGGAAAACAGAATTGTACTGGAGTGTAATGTTTATGATATGCTATAACACGTGTATCGGAATTTAGCTATGTATCGAATTCTATTATATTGAAGGAGGTAATATAATATCATCGATGATATATTTAGCGTCGATAATGTACAAAATGCATCGAAAACCTGTTTTTTTTTTTTTTTTTTTTCCACAGGAGAAAATCGCCGGATTCCCACTCGCACGGCAGGTGGGGTATGTGGGAGTCGAACCTCACTAAAAACTCCTGCCGCTCACAGCCGGCGCCCTACCCCGGACCGGGCGGGAACCCAGTCGGAGCTATTGAGACGGCGGGACAGGGTTTACGCAGAGCATATATCGAAAACCTGTTGCCTAACACTGAGAATTCTTAGCAAGTATTACTGGTGGTGGGATGTCTTATGAGCTCCCACGGGTAGGTACCTCCATCCTTTCTATATTTCTGCAGTGAAGCAGTAATGCGTTTCGGTCTGAGGGGTCTGACAGTCATTGTACTGTAAAAAACGAAGATTTCGAAGTGATGTCTTAAGGTATGTGGCAGCATGTGCATTATTGATATTTACGGATTACGCTTAGCATCAGATCGGCCGTAAGCTTGTTCATCAATCTAAACAATAAAAAATAATAACTTGAACGATGACATAGTACTCGTTAAGCACCAAGAAGAAAGAAGGCAATATGATGAATAGTATGTGGCAGAAAACCATCTCTGAAATAGCACAATAGTTAATCAATCGCAGCAGCCAATCAGAGTTGACCGCGGCTTTAAATTCTCTTGCATTATTTCCTCGGAGCACCACCAATGCCAAAGGATAAGACGTCCGGTGCATTCGTATCTAGCGATGCACCAGTGTTCGTACCGCAGGCGGGTACCAATTTTTCTAATGAAATACGTACTTAACAAAATGTTCACGATTGGCTTCCACGATGAAGGAATAATAACATCGTGTAATAAAAATCAAACCCGCAAAATTATAAGTTGCTTAATTACTGGTTAAATGACCTCTTGTGAGTCCGCACGGGTAGGTACCACCGTCCTGCTTATTTCTGCCGTGAAGCAGTAATGTGTTTCAGTTTGAAGGGTGGGGCAGCCGTTGTAACTATAATTGAGACCTTAGAACTTATATCTCAAGGTGGGTGGCGCATTTACGTTGTAGATGCCTATGGGCTCCAGTAACCACTTAACACCAGGTGGGCTGTGATCTCTTCCACCCATCTAAGCAATAAAAATAAAAAAAGCCGGTACGACACTATTAAGAAATAAATAAAATAAGAAAACGCGTTTCTTATCCACAGAAATGCCTTTAACAACTTTTCACTTTAGATTTACCCAAATAAACTGGATCTCATTTTATCAATTGTCAAAGTTTAAAAAACTTAATCCACTTAAGGACCCTTAAAGGGGAGTGCACACTGCGCATGACTTTACCCTAGCGGGAAAACCAAGGACATTACGCGGGCAGACAGAGCGGTGTTCGAACGCTCCCTCATCGTATCATCATTCAAACATGAAACGCGAAAGCGGCGACTTACGTCCGATAACAGACAACTTTTAAATTTCGAACATAAAACTTGTGACTAAAAGTGCCAGTGTGTTAAATTACAAACTCTTTGTTGAAGTGCCAAATATGTGAGAGACTAGTTTTGTTAGAATCGTTTTTGGAGCAAATTTAAAATCTTATCTTTTGCGGGGTTGATGACTTTTTGAACTCATTAACGTAAAATTTGAATAACAATGTTCTCGATTTAAAGAAATCATTCTCATTCTATTAAATTAAGTATTTAAGAAGATAAAATTCGTTATGTGAAAGAGGAAATGATGGAAATCATCAAAATGAAGTTCTCCGCGTTGATTGCATTGTGCGGTAAGTGAGATTTTTTTATAGATTAATTGTAATCGTATTGTAAAATTATAGGGGACGAAACTAAATGACGGGCATGATTTCTGTTAATACTTAAATTATGAAAATTAATTATAAAATTATTACATTGTTTTACACGTTATCATTTAATTATTATTATATTTCTTTGTATTTCTTCGTAATTTATATTTTTTTTTTTTGTTTTTTTTGGTGTTCAAGAAGTTTTTCTTATTTTGTTATATCCCATAATGTATTTATTCAAATTATTTAAACACACACACGCATACAAAACAAACAAAACTACAATCGCATTAACAATTGGTCATTTGCAATAATGACTGAAATAAAATAAAAGTTGAGTAAAGTACTCATTTAATTAAATCTACCAGAAACTTTTGCGACAATGCCTTAAATTCTACAAACAAATCCAAAGTCGGCGAACAAAAAAAAAAAACTTTTCTTTTTTTAAGTCTTCATAATTACACGGTTCCATGACCTTTCTCCCTTCCCTATAATGTGGCGTGAGATTTATGGTTATGTCCACAATAAATGGTCCGAAGTTATTGTAGGGGCTGCTATGACTGGGCAGCTGGATTGTGACGTCATACCTTTACTAATCCAAGCTCGTTAATAAACGGGACGAGAGTATCGGCCGGCCTAAAGATACAATCTCCGAGCGCTGGACCGGAATAGCTCCAAAGTTTGGAATTTTGATGTTGAACAGAATTCAAATTTGCTTTTACTAAAGTACACAAACTAAAATCTTGATTTATGATTAGCATAACAAGCTAACGAAAAATATTGTAATGACTGATAGATAGAATTGAGTTCAAAATATGTTTTTTGGGTTTTTTATTTAATACTAGCTGACCCGACAGACTTCGTAGTGCCTCAATCGATAAATAAGAGACCAAAACTTTTGTATAAAATACACTTAAAACAAACAAAATTAATCCGTCCGACGGGGGACACATCAAAGGAAAAACTAAATTGTTATTTTTATTTAATTTCGAGCATTTTCATATTTATCTACCTTTTAAACCTTCTCTGGGCTTCCACAAATAATTCAAGACCAAAATTAGCCAAATTGGTCCAGCCGTTCTCGAGTTTTAGCGAGACTGACGAACAGCAATTCATTTTTACATATATATAAGATAGAAGATTAGCAGCTTGAATTTCATTTTACTAATAGCATACAATTTTAAATTTTAGAAAGAAAAAAAATTAGATTGAACGTTTGTATATATTTATTATAAAAATTATATTTATTATTATTACACAATTATATTTTATTATCGCTATTTTATATTAGCTAGCAAATGGAGTAGCTATGTTTATTTTTATATTTCTATATCCAAAATTGTGTACGTAGAACTAAGGCCAACATAAAACGTATTCCGAGTAAACATTATTCATGAAATTTAAATACGCACTTCGACGAATATAATTTCCGTAACGTAAATCGATAAAACAAAAATTTATGTTAATGGAGGACCAGCCGTATCTTCGCCCATCTATATTTACCCTTGAAATAAAAATAAAATTCTATACGTCTTTATTCGAGTGGAACGATTTCTGGGTAACGCTGCGTATTCTATAAATACTAGAGGTCCCGCAGTAGTCGAAATTCGACTATAATTAATTGGAATTGTAAGTTTGTACACTAATAAGATTGTATTTTATACTTCTATAATCACAAATTTCGCCAAAACTACACTTTAAAAAATATTAACAAAGACAAACAATATTTAATCTATTCTCAATTTGACAACAGACGTCAAGAACAAAAGTTTGACAATAAATAGTATGCATGCGTGTGTGCGTTAAATACATGGTATGTAGTGTGTGTGTAATGTTTTCTTTATTGATTGAATGTATCTTTTATGCATTATTTTAAGAAAATATTAGCATTGTGCACTTCTTCTCTATATTCTCTATAAGTGTGGAAGATTTCATACTCCTCCGTCCGCGCGATTTTCGTAAAAAGGGATACAAAGTTTCTGCTTCACGTATTTAATATATAGAATAGTTTAGTGCGGTTGAGGACCTCTCTGTTCAACCCTCCTAGTGTTGTCTGTTCGGTCGAATTTATCCTAAAAAGGTTAGTGCCTATAAAATCTCGGCTAATAATTTAGATTCGGCTTCGCTTTACCTTCCCTCGTGAATCGTTACTTTATGCGTGTACTAAATTTTACGTTAACAGTATTCGGTGTCAACGTTTTGTGAGCGATTGCTATTTATTAGGGATCGCAGGTGGTTAGAATTTTGGGTCCGCGAACGAAATCAATTTTGGGTATGCTGAATAATGTTTAGTTTAGATGACTTCAGTCAATATTAGTTCTCATGTGATCTCAGTACTAGTGTTCAATACCGGAAACTTTAAACTCAAACATCTGGCCTTGTTTTTATTTTTACTTATTGCCCTTGCAGGCAGACAAGCATACGGCCCTCCTGGTGGTGAGTGGTTACCGTCGCCCATGGACTTCGGCAATGCCAGGGATAGAGCCAACCCGCTACCTACCATTAAGAACTCTCCTCAAGCCACCATAAGGCTTTTTGAAGTTACATAAAATGAAAATTTGGTTTCTTTTTTTATTTCTTAAATGGGTGGACGAGCTCACGGCCCACCTGATGTTAAGTGGTTACCGGAGCTCATAGACATCTACAACGTAAATGCCGCAATCCACTTTGAGACATCGAAGGTCTCAGTTTGAACAGTACAACGGCTGCGCCCACCCTTCAAAACGAAACGCATTACTGATTCGCTGCGGAAATAGGGAGGGTAGTGGTACCGACCCGTGTGGACTCATAAGATGTCCTACCACCATAATACCTTGGTTTTAATGTTTAATGCTCAATGTTATGGATATTCATATTTCATTTATAATATATTCACGTCGTTTGATTTTCCTCTGACATGTTATATACGACAATGAAAAAATACATTTAATACGGTATATTATCTACGATAATACTTTAGAGTGGCTTTAGGGTTATAACTTTTCCTCCCCACCCGTTTTGTATTCCCCGAGATATTTCATTAAATTCGGTTGGTTCGATCCGAACCCAGCGCCTTCGTGGCAGCCTAGGGCTGCGGAAACCAGCACGAGGTACCCGTCGAACATGTGCCGCGATCCGCGGTGCCGTATGTACAATTTTAACAAAATGTCATCTAATCACTCACCGGAACCGATGTCCTCGTCGTCTCACGCCGTATCACTTAGGAAGAAAGATTTAGGACAGGAATGGATAAGAATTAATGACAATGCAAATCGTTAGCGTAGACCGTCACATATGGGTACCGTCCCGTTCGAGAAGCAAGCAAAAGTGACAGATGTCAAGTCGCGAAGGCACCGTCAAATCGCGACCCGTGTTGCCATGGTAAAAATTCAAATACCCACGGATTGGTTTCGAACACGGTTAATAATGTGAATCAAGGAAGAGTTGTTTAGTTCTCCGAAATTCGGTCGGTCGTTCTATGATTTGTACGGTAAGCTTTGTCACGGCGCGATGGGCACCTTAATCTACTTTATCTGTGTACTTATACTAACAGAAATAAGTGAAGTAAAAGAATGCTTTACAAATAAGCACTTTCAATTTACTAGCATTAAATTTACTAAATTTACATATTTAATGTATTCGACGAACGAAAACGTTCGCAAATTCTTTTAATACACCTTGTGGCGAAGAAATAAAATATTTTTTTTAATAATCTTATTCTTTCCAAATTTTGTTTATTAAATAAGAATATTGCATTTTGTATATGTTCTTACGGATTCGACATTAGCATTCGAAGTCACGGGTGTGAATATGGCTACTGTATAAAAAAAAAAACATATTCTCTGTAAATTCTAATCAATGTCGGCTGGAGATAAAATTATTTAAATTTCAGTTAATATTAAAGTGTTCGTTAACACGTAATAGATAATTCTGCATAATTCCTTTAAAATATTGGCGCCTGCTAACGAGGTTTCAAAACCGGCATAGTCGTATCGCTTAACATAAGCTTAATATGCTTTCTATCTTTTATAGGTCACAGCGACTTCATAGAATTCATATTAAGAAACATTTTATAAAATTGACAATAATATTCCGTAAGGTTTTGAATAGAATTAAATATGGGGGGAGTGCTCTGAGGAACTATTCGAGATGATCCCTCCATCTCCTTTTTACCATTATACCTAAGGCACCGGAGCAGAGTTTATCCATGCTATCTGGAATCGCTGCGTTCATTGACAGTGCGTTTCCGGAAATCTTTTCTGCCACCTACCATCCGGTTCTGGAATGAGCTCCCCTCCACGGTGTTTCCCGAGCGCTATGACACATTCTTCTTCAAACGAGGCTCGCGGAGGGTACTCAATAGTAGGTAGCGATTTGGGTGTGCCCCTGGCATTGCTGACTTCCGTAAGCGACAGTAACCACTTATCTTCAGGTAGGCTGTATGCTCTTTTTTTCCTACCTATGCTGATAGCCTTGAGAGGCTATTTCAGCTTCACCCTAACGTGTGTAGGTGAGCTCGCGGGGCTCAAACCGGAGTGTTGCTAACACTGACCCTAGCAACAGCAGTGCTTCGCAGAATCTACCACCGGATCGGAAACGCAACCCACTGAGAAGATCCGGCGAGAAACTCGGTGGGCTGTGTCTATGGGTTAATTCTCTCGTCGAGCCCTTCATCGCAAGCGACGGGTTTGACGAGGACGGTCACCGGTGCTTGTGGTGCCCAAAAGCACCGTTAATGGATCGGGAGGATATGCTCGTCTACCTAAAAGGACAATAAAAAAAAAGAATTCAATATTCGTAGAATCAAATTTTGAAAGATCATTTTAAAAATTGATACACAAATTTATTATATCACGTAACTACCACTAAGGATACTTGAACAAAATGAAAGAACGAAAGATACTGGTGGTAGGACCTCTTGTGAGTCCGCACGGGTAGGTACCACCACCCTGCCTATTTCTGCCGTGAAGCAGTAATGCGTTTTGGTTTGAAGGGTTGGGGTA